TGCTCTGTGGCTTTCAAGTGCAGTACAACAGCTTCACATGCCTTCAAGTCATTTGTGCAGAACAGGTTTGAGAGCACAAACAAGATAACAGACCCTCTATCCAGCCTTGACTGCCTTGGACTTCCCATTTGCTGCAGATTTGGAAGACATGATTGTTATCCAAATAAAGCTGGGCCTACAAGGTGTTAATACATGAACAAATTGGAATATTTATTTTAAATTCAGCTTCATTTACTTTTAATAATTTATATTTTTAATAACTTTTAAAGAATTTATTTAAAATTGTTATTGTGGGCCTATAGAATTGTAAGATGCCATTATCCCTACATCAGTATTGTTGGTGTGTATTTAGTGTTCTAAGCATGCACATATGAAACAATAGTTCATAAAAGAAGTTTGACATTGGAACATTCCCACATTTATGTACCTTAATAGTTTCTTTGTTTCAATGCAGAAACTGCATTGTTGAGATTGTGAGAATTATTTCCAGTGGATATGATATTTTTTCCAGCTGGTTTATATGAGCATGAAAAATGTCCTTTTAAAAAAAACAAGCAAAGACTCTGATGGCAGACAGAAGCAGAAGTACTTTATAGTTTATTTGGAAGTGCAGATATCAGCTGCTTCCTCTGATTACACCTTTAAAAAAAAAGTGCTTAGAGATTCCAGAAGCATAAGCTGTATTTGACCCATTATTTTGATCATTTGATTAAGTTTTTCTTTCATGCATTTATTCTAATACTTCTGAATCCACAAGTTGTTTTAATAGAAGATTCCACATACCATACTATACTTTATTTGGTTGATTTTAATAGTTCATCATAAATTCAGTTGTTATTTGAGCTTCATAAAAATTTGATCTATGGGTTATGTTGGGTTTGGTTTGTATGGGATTTGGGGACAGATGTCTAAATTTGGGGTTTGGATTTGAGGTTGCAAGAATTTCTGCTGCTTCACTTTGTCTTCTACTTTAAGTGAGAATTCAATTTTCCTGTCATTGTAGAGTGAGGCTTAAGAATATGAACTTAAACTAAAACAAACAAACGAAAAATCTCAATATTTCCCATTTGCTGCCTTAATATTTGCCTTAACATGAAGTCATGACAACTGATCTCAGTTTTTGAACACTTGATATCAGCAGTTCTGGATATACATATGATGATGTGAGTTTTCCACAGACACACAGAGCAAAAAAGGAAGATTTCGTTAATTGTCTTCCATACTAGAAATAAGCCAAGACTTGAAGGCAATAGTAACTACTAGCTGCACTGTATTGTCAAGATGCCAGTCAAATTCCCCAAGGAGCATTTCTTCTTTCCTTGTCTGTAACCTACAACTGTTGTGCTAGTACAGAAACCAAAGCACAGAGTTTTCACTTGTGTAATAGAACTCTTGAGAACATAAGCCATTAATAAATCTTAACTCTCTAGAAGAAGCCTGTGTTTGCATTCTGTAAGTTTTGTTTCAGCTGATTAATTATGTCTGTAACTTCACACTCGTGCTGAGTCTGAGTTCTGTAGGAAGGATTTGCAGAAAAAGCTGGAACTGCCATGGAAAATGGGTAGCAATCTTGTGTTATTTTTCAGCTCCTGCTAGCTGGCTGAAGCATAATGTTGCTACAAGTAGTTTGTTCAATCTACCTGCCCCTATGGTTAGTTGCAAATGAAAAAATAAAAGGTATCATCAAACCCCTAGTTCTAGGGAATAGCTGTGAAACTATGTATTTGTGCTGGAAGTAGGAAATGATAGTGAGGAACATGAAGAAAAGCCATGAAGAAAGCTTTAAATACAGACCTCAAAACTGTAAATAGAATAGAGCTGTAGTTTGAAATAATAGTGTTTAATCATCTGTTATTTTTTCTTTTCGTAGAAATAACTGCACATTAATATTCAAGGCTGTAAAGATTAAAATTACACATATAATCAATGAATGTACGGGTGTTATAGTTATGAAATATACTAGAGAGTTTGGCTAAGCAGTTATTATACCAAAACAGAATAGATAGAATGCTTACCTGTATCCTGGGCTTGCTACGAAACTCCAGAGTAGGGATCTCCAGAAGAGATCCTTCCCCACTGGTAGTCAGCTCTTAAATGGGTCTAGAAGAGGTGCAGCCAGGCTCCACCTCTTCTGGCAGCACAGGTGAATTGCCTTCACCTGTGCTCCCATGGCTGACTCATTGCTCGCCTCAGGTTATCAATCAGAGGTTCAGGCCGTGATTCAGCAGTTCCCGCACAGCATATTATATGTATGACTATAATTATTTGGAAAACTAACTTGTAGCTGAGGTGGTAAAGGAAAACTGGAATGTTCTGTGTCATCCAAATTCCAGGAAGAAAACTCTTTAACTTCAATGTAGTATTAGAAAGTGGCATTCCTTTATTCCTCAGATACATACTGGGTGACTTGACAAATCAAGCGTGCTCCCTCAGAGTTAGTAGTCTAAAGTTTATTGTATGCAGAAGCCCAAGTCTCATCCAATCTACTCTTAGCATACTTCCTCAGTTTTCTATCAGGAACTTAGGATGAGCATTGGGCTCAAGTTTGCCCTAGTAATTGCTTTTTTATGTAGTGGTACTGAGTTTTGGAATGTCCTCGGACTCAAGTAAGTCACCCCCCACACTTCTAAATGGAGTTTGTCAATGTAAATTATTCAGTCATTAATTCTGGGCAACCTTGCCTGCAGCAGGGGAGTTGGAACTACATGATCGTTGAAATCACTTTCAACCCATGCCATTTTATTATTTACATGACAGTTTGTTGAAAATAATATTTAGTTACTGGCAGACTGTCTGCTGCATCAGCGTCCTCAGTGAAGCTGGTGAAAGTGCAGGATTCAAACCTGTAGGCACTAAATTTCCTAACTGATGCTACACTGAACATATGAACTTTATTTGCATAGTGAGGATTTCCAAGTCATTTCAAAATCACTTTTTAATTTTTGTAATTATTTGTAACCAAAAAAGAGCATTAGAATGTGTCTGCATGGATATGTGTGTAATTTGTCTTTTTTTTCTGTGTGTGTGTGTGTTAGACTGCAAAGTACTCATGCTACAGTTTGCATCTACTGTTAACCATCTGTGTCCCACAAAAGCTAGTGAACTTGGAGATGCTTTGTCCCTGACCATTTTGTACCAATTCTGGATTGGTAAATAGTAGTGCTGTGAATACTACTAGCTACTGTGATTAATATATATGAGGATCAGATGACAGTATCTAAATTTTTCTTTTTCAGATTTGCATCACAGTTTTCAGTAGTGCTGAAATTGGTACAGTTGTATAATGTCTGTAGAGCTTTCACAAGCCGGCAAGCTACCAACATAAATTAAAAGACACCAAGATGTGGTAGCATAAAAAGGTTATAAAGGTAGGGAGTTACTGCCCAAAATGAGCTGCCTCCCAGAAGAATAGTATTTCAAAGTGCTATAAATTAAGCTATTACAGATGCTTTTGTATTGGTATTTGGTATTTGGTCCATTCGTATTGCAGTTAACACCCTTAAGATGTTGGTTGCTATGGGTTTTTCTTTACTTTCTTCCCTGAAAGAGGCTAGACAGAAAAACCTCCCAGTGAAGACCACAGACCTTGTTTAGAAGCTACCAAAGAGAATTTTAGGAGTTAAATACTGATTTGACTGAAGTATAGCAGTGTATTCCTCTGTGCCATGGTTTTGTCTGGGATAATTTTCTTTGCAGGGACTCCTATGATGGGAGCTTCCTCTTACCAATTGGTGGTTTACTAATTTTAGGTCAATAAAGTGTGGATTTCAATAACTGTGATGACTGTTTTAATTTCCTTAAAAATGACTGGAGAGAAATAGGTGAGAACATCTGGTTTGATTTTAGATGTCTTTCAGTTGTTCCATCATCTATCAATAATGTTTCCTCCCTAAATATAAAGGGAGTCCAGATCATTAGATCAGATGTAGATATTTGTATATTAATATTGTGTGAGCAGATACTTTTATCATCTGTAATTATAGCATTTTTAAAGATTATTATTATTATTATCACAGAATGGCTGAAGTGGGAAGGAACATCTGGAGTCCACCTACTCCAAGGCCCATGCTACAGCATGAGTCACCAAGAGCAGGTTGCTCAAGAGAATGTTTGAATGGCAGAAACTGTTGTTTCTATAAGCTTGTTAGTTGCTTCCAAATCACTCTCTGCAATTTAAATTAAAGCAAACATAAATTGCAGAGCTATATGCATAACAAGAGTTTTTAGCTATTTTTGACGCCTCCCGTTTTGAAATTTCTTTGTTGGCTCTGGGCTGCCAGTACTGGGAAGCTGTCTGAGGATGCCAGGACCATCTTTTAGATGCTTCAAGCTCAGTTATCCTCTACTTTTTCATGTTTTTCCAGCATCAGTTTGCCACTTCTGTAGAGGAGAGCACTCCTGATAGCTAGTGAGGATTTCCTGTCACAGGCTTTCACCAGCTAAGGTGTGGTATTTGCACATAGTGCTGATGGCTCTTCTTGGAGTTGTAGGTGTGGGTGACATACAGGCTACTTCTGCTTTATTTCTAGTCGTTACAACTGTCCTTATCCTGTTCTTTGCTTTCCCCTTTGGGAGAATGATCTCGGCTAATATCTTGTATAATAATTTATTCTATTAAGCTGTTCATTTAAAAATCACTAGTAAATTAGAAGGATTGTAGGAAGTGCACTATAAAAGAAGGTAGGTGATGGTTATCTTGCAGTGGTAGTGAGTCCCCAGTGATTACTTTTGCTGTGCCTTCTGCTTTCATTTAGTGAACACTTAGTGGCAATTCGTGTAATGTGAATTGATTGTAACATTTCATGTTTGACATCTGATCTTAGTACCATGTGTTTTAATTGCAGCTTTTGTGAGTACTACGTAAAATGTAGAGATGAAGACAGCAAGCGCTGAATATGTATAGCGATAACTTTCATTCGTGTTGAATTTTTGATTGTATTTTTCCTTCGTTCTTGTTTGCCTTACCAAAGAAGTGCTCATGATTATATAATCTTTTTCAGTGGAAATCTGAAATTATGTTCTGCAAGATGTAGGACATGTTCTTATACTTTACCAAATTTTCCTTACGATGTCAAGATGGTACTAGGAGAAAAAAAATACCCTGACCACAGTATGAGAATAAGGATGGTTGACTGTTTGCAAGCAGACATGACGAAGTACCTAGCAGGATCGCTGTAAGTAAACATTATTAGGTTTATTTTGCATCATTACTAATTGGGTGCAGAATTAAATTTTCAGATGAAAGTAAAAATATTCTTAATGTGCTTTCTTACACAGAAGAAGCTTAAGGCTGGAAACCCGTTGAAGCCAATAGTAATATTTGCATGAAATCTTCAAGGTGTTCTCTTTGTTATTTAGAGGGGAACTGATGTCTTAGAAATACTTCGGGACCATTTTGTCAGTTTCATATGCATCAGTACGGCCTTCAGACAGTGTCAAATACCATTTAGAGCACCAACTCTTTCTTTGATCTTGTTTGTACAGGTATCCAAACAGCCAGCAGTACAACATTGTTGTCGGGGCTTTGATGCAGGCATACCCTTTCCTGAATGAAGATGGGAATGGCTTTGTAAGTATTGTAAACTGTAATCTATCGTTAAAATATTGAAATAACTCTTCCTTTTTTAATTTTTTTCTTCCCAGCATAATCGATCACAAGAAAATAACACTTCAGAGCAAATCAATATCAATTCCTTGTATACTGGATTAGTTCAGAGCTGTAAGCTTCACTTTGACATGCCTGCCAAACCACATTCTTATTTCATTACGTTAATGAAAAGTTAATCCAACTATGTGCCACTTCTCATAGCTACCCTGAGATAATTTCAGGAACATAAAAACAGTCACTGGGTCCCTGGTTGCTCATTGTGTACAGGTTTTTTTTTCTGATTTGAATTCCTCCAAAGGATACATTTGAATAGTGGTGATTTTTTTTTTTTTCCTTTTTAAATTAAAAAGAAGTCAAGTCTTTAAAAATAAAATTAAAAAACAAACAAACAAACAAAACAGAAACAAACCTTTCTGTATGCTGACTAACAGATGACTTACCCTCTTGCAATGTGTTATAATCATATGAATGTTAGATATGCACCAACACAATGTTTTAGTTTTAGGTTTGTCAGGAATCTAGGTACAGATTAAAAAAATAAAAATAGAAAGCTTTTAAACACTGGTTGGGATCTCTGAACTATAACTGAAAGCAATGGAAGAAGAAAACTCAAATTTGAACCACATTTTTTCCCACTCCCCTGTGACTTAAAATATGTCCATGGTCTACAAAGACAGCATTCACCTTCTGACTTCTCACCATTGCTTTGCAATGTGATACTTTTATAACTTCTTTAAAAATCTTGTGAGACTCAGAGGAGATTGTTAACTTTCAACATACATACATACAACATGCACAGTTACTGCAGAAAGTAAATAATTTTGAGAACTTAAAAAGCAAATGATTTTGAGAATTAAAAAAAGAAGTGAGGATTAGATGGTGGATATTCAAGGTCTGGATTCAGCCTCATCTGTAAGATGGGAGGGATGAAAGAAAACAAACAGTTCATGAAAGGGAAAAATGCAACAGAAGAATGAGCCTCAGATCACTGTGGCTTCATCCAAAAGATCTCTCTGCATGTCTCAGTGGGAAACCACTGCCCAATTCTGGGCAATGTCATGGCTCCATTGGGCTGCGTGGAGTGCACATCTGCGCTCTTCCAAAGAACTTTTTACAGCCTTAAAAATCTGTCTTAAAATAGAGATTCTAAGGATAGGCTCTCAGAGGAGTTTCATTACAGGAAAAGAATAGACTTACTGAACCCACCTATAAATCCATGCTTTAATAACTAGCTTGTAGCTTTGCAGATCGATCCCCAAAGTGGTGCTCGTGGAAACTACCGGAGAATCTTCCAAGAGGTGGCACAGAGATTTCAGAGCAGTTGTTCTGTGCCTTTTGACATTTTTTTCATGCTTAGTAGAAAGCAAATGCAGTAAAATTCACCATCAGTAAGTGAGGAATTACAGTTCTCAGTATCGCTAATATAATGCTTCTGGGCAAGCCTCTCCACTGACTGACTTGAGATAGAGAAACGTATTAAAGGTGTAGGTCTGTATACCAGAGTTTGGGGAAGGGGAAGGTCAAATTAGTATTTTCACTGGGCACTGGTCACTTCACATAAGACATTTCTTTTAGTTCCTCCACAATCACAGATAGTTGTGTACTACAACAACAAAGGCTTAAAATGAACCCAACATCATATACATGTATTCTTTTCCATACACTGGGAAATTTTATCAGGAGCAGGTTATTTTTAACTCTCAAGCCAAATAGTTTGGAGCCCTCCACCGGAAATGGTTGTGTCTTAGCTGTTGGAATGATGCAGTGGAGACTTTTCTGGATTCGTCCATGGCTAGCACGTGTGTATGTTCGTGCCTTGGGTGAGCAGTGGCAGCCAGTTGTGCTTTGACGGAGAAAATAAACATTTTATCTTTTGAGAGATCTTTACATTTCAGAACAGTTTTTTTTTGCTTCTGATCAAGAATATAACATCAAAGTGTAAAGAGCTTGATTTAATGGAAAATTTCATATTGGGAGTGTTACAACTTCTGTTAAACATTCATGGAAATGAAACAGCTTTGGAATTTGAACAGAGGAAAGATCTGCAATGGAGTAACAAACCAAAAATTGCCTAAATTTTTGTGAATAGAACCTTTTTGTGGCAGGAACAGATTTCCTCATAAAGCATTGAGGTTTTTTTCCCCATAAAACTGGATGCAATTTTCATCTCCAAACTACTTTAAATAATGTAAACATTGTATGCATAAAGTAGAAACTGAGTAATATTATCAATCTCGTTCCATTGCAAAGAGACAGATTTTAGTAAAAGGTTTAATGTTTCAAGTTTTATTTGTAGATTATTTATAATCCTATTTTCTTGGTTATGATTTTCCACCTGAATTTGCAGTAGGGGAAGATATTTTTCTGTGCTATGATTAATATAACTGGGTAAGTTTTAAAATAAGGTTACTGATAACTTACCTGTGTGCCATGACTTTAAGAAGGCTATTTACCTTGGGAATTACTTAAGATTTCTGATAAATCTTTCATAACATTAAAAAAAAAAAAAATAAGAGCAAAAGCTCACTTAAAAGGTCTGGAGCACTTGAAATGAAACCAATTTTTCTATCCCCATTTCAGACTGGCTTTTGGAAAGAAGTGTTTTAAAGTGATTACTGGAAGAGTTTTTCCCATAATGTTTTCTTTGACATAAAGAATAGTGTTACTGCAAATTAACACACTGACATTTAAATATTAATAAATAAATTTTTATCTCGATTTCGTCATGAGATAAATTATTAGGCTTTTGATCTATGATGTAACAAAAGCATTATTTCAAGTAATTACAGGAAAAATAGGCTTTAATATAAAATGTCCATTTCATAGCCACAGCAGTCAGAAGACGATTGGGGTGATAGTTTCTGACTACCTACAAGGCATTACTATATTTTATTCCTCCTACTTCAGGAGTATACAAGAAACTATTTGGAAGGAGTCACTGACTCTATTTCATGTTGAAAACTGTACTCTTTTATTTGGAAGGCAGGGGGAGGTTAGTAAATGCTTACTCCTGTATAAGCCACTCCTGGAGTTCAGCAGTACTCTGATCCCAGTGATACCCAGGATCACACTGTTGACATGCTTGATTATGCAACTGCTGCATGCAAAATGATTATTCTCTAGTAAATTACTGCTTTTAATCTGCGTGTAATCCGTTCCCTCCCATGGCAGATACACACAAACTAATCCTTGTACTACTTTATAAGCATGGTAAACGTTCCTGTTGCTATTTTTTTTTCTCCAGTATTCATAGAAAATAAAATAATTGGCTCAAAAATGCAACAAAACCATCCTTTTCAGAAGATACACTACCTGCTATGGAAACCACATAAACGTATGTCCTAGCAGTCTTGTTCATGAAAGAGGTATGTGAGAAGGGAGTTGGATGAGATTATGAGAATCCTGTTACAGAAATAGATTTAGTTAAAACTCTTAACTTATTTGAGGACAGGCTAAAACAGCTGAATGTTTTGAACTTTGTGAGATATTTAAAGCTGTGCATAGGTATCAGTATATTCATCCACGTGGAAGAAAAAGCTAAAATATCTCCTAGCTAAATGAAGGCTTTCAAAAGAAAACAAAGCAAAACTCCACAGAACTCCACAAAGAATGTTTAAATCTCAGTTGTTAATATAGTCTGAGATGATCATCTTTTAAAATATTTTACCAGAGAAATATTACATGAGGTTTGTTTTTAGCCTTGAAAATAAAGATTTTTACAAATAAATTGTGCTGGGCATATAACACTAAGGTATCTGGATCCAACTGTAAATATATAAGGTCAGAATTAGAAAGGGTGTTAAGGAACACTAGTGGTTCAGGCAGATGAAGTGGGATTTCCAAGGCAAGTGGTCACCTTGGTTTTCAGAACCATAACCCAGTACTGGGACATAATAAAACTGATGCTGTAAATGCACAGAATGAGAAGTCTGTGCTCTATTTTTTCTCTTTACTAAGTGAGGCCAGAATCCTAAGTCAGACCTTTACACACTGGAAACACAGATGGGTTTCTTTGCTTTCCACTTCTCAGAAGCTTTAGCACAGCTGCCAGAAAGAGGACACTTCTGTGAGGGATGCAGGTGGTGGCAGAAAGTGCCCCCTTGGGAGTGTGCATCAGCCTTAGCCTGCCCTGTAAAAGCTGAGGGAAATGCCACAAGGCCCAGAGCCTGTGCATGAGCTGCTGCTGAGATTTCTCACCATTAACATATCTGTTGCTTTTAAGAAAAGAACCTATTATCAACTAGCACCCTTGCGAGGTGGGAGTAGTAGAAGAAAGGCAAGGTCACACTACTGTCTAAGAGATACCCTCCCAGTCACCCCATGGGTGAGAAAAGCTGGTATGTCAGATTCCTGCTGCAAAGGTACGGTACTGCCTAGTGCAAACTTGAGTTCAGTAGGAGTACAGTCGACCTTGCATAATTAAGGACACCTTTTTGGTAGGGAGCTTGGAATAATTCTTATGTTTATACTGGTTTTCAGCATCAGTGAGTATAGCTCAACTTGGAGTCCATTTTAGAAAAGGAAATAACTATCTGAATCTTTTTTGTCACATCTTGTCACTTGTTTTGTTTGTTTCTTATGACTATTGAAAACTCCTCAATAACTAAAATAATCAGTTGTTTTGTCAGATCTTTAAAAGCATTTTCACTTCTTGCAATTGCAGGCTTTTGCCTGCAGAAATGCATAATAGCTTTTGCTTAGTGGCTTCCTCCCTGCCTGACTGCAGTTGTTGTGTCCTGCTGCAAAGCACCCAGCTGGGGACAGGTGGGCTGCTGTCTCACTATAATGTCATGGGTATTGCTGTCCACCCAGCTCTCAGAAGTAGCATGCGCTCTGGTTTTTCTCTTCCCAAATGAAAAAGACAAAATGTCACAGAAGTAGGGAGCACATCAGTTCTATCTTTGGCTGCTGAGTGGGGAAGTGCCTTTAAGCTGCAATTTATACCCTCTGAGGCATCTCATAAGCACTAGGACCTACTTAACTGACCCTCTTCAGCAGCAGTAAGTTCAGTTTAATAGCATGTTTGATCCACTGTAAGTGCTGGCTCCCTGCAAAAGGGAAATTGTCACTCTATTTTTCTGTTCCCTTGTATTAGATCTAATACTCACAGAGTTTTGCAACCAGCCAGGTACTGTTTGAGGCAAAATATTAGGTTTTTGGGGCAACAGTGAGCTGATCTGACTCACCACATAGTTTTGTTACCTGATGTCAGAGAGATAATATCCAAAAGAGCTAGAAAAGGAAAGTAAGATATGGTTTTGCTGACAGCCCTGGTGATCATGTCTACATCTAATCCTATCCTTAGATTCATTGACTGGGGTACCTGGGGAACTATGTAGGTGCCAGTAGGCCTTTTGATTAGCAGTCATTGAGGCAGATCATCACAGGTTCTTGTGCATCCCTCCATCCTGAAGCTACCACTATGCTAATGCCAAAATATGAGCCTTCTCATCATATTTCTGTTTAGTGGCAAACTATTAAAAAAGAATAATAGAATTAGATTGAAACTAAGTAACCTGCCTTAGGAATGGAGCAAATCCTTACAAGATACTGGCAATGACAGATCTTTATTTGTTTATTTTATTGTGCAGTTGGTATGGAAACAGGCGCTTAAAGATCGTTTCAAATATGTGCGGAGAGCCATTGAAGATGATGAGCAAGTTTTGAAGAACAAATGCAAGTTTGGCCATAGGAAAGGACAGAGCACGAAATCTTCATCTGTTGAAAACAAACCTAATGACGTCAAAGCACAGAAAGTGGTAAGATTTCTGTGATATCATCCTGTTTACATTTTTCTCAAATTGTTTCTTCTGTAGCCAGATTTTGGACTTTTTTTTTTTTTTCCTGGAGAACTGAGCATCAACAGTAGAGCTGAACCCAACATTTAATTCTTTGTACACTTGATATCATTTATAGATGTCTCCAATTGGACATAAAATTCTTCTATTTTTAATGCAGTGTTTCCATTCTGCCTTAGGTTATACATGTCCAGTTACAGTGAAAAATAAAGGTTTACATCTAAGAGCTGAAACCTGTAAAAATAAGAATGCAAAGTGATGTTTAAGAAGGCATAAAATGGCCATACCCTACTACCAAGTCACATTTTTTATATACTAGCTATTTGCATTAATGCACAATATACTTAGGGATGCTTACAAATATATACATGCAGATGCAGTATTTCCCTTTAAATAGAGAACTTACAAAGAGCTATTAATGCCCAGTAAGTGTTTGAAGCACACTAATTATCTCGTACACTTTCATACATTCCAGTTATGCTTTGGCAACACACCTCACACTCCTTTCAGTGCTACAATTAAAATATGGTAAAACCTAATTACAAGAATATGATAAAAAAGCTATTCAGTCAATTAGTTTATGTCCATACTGCTAACTCTTTACCAGGCATATATCTGTCTTTGGGGAAGCAAGAGTGGTTTGCCTGACCCATTTTTGCATAAGTTACACCTTTAGCTGCAGTTTTCTACCTAAAAAGCACATATATTTATTAGAGGCTTCAGTGATTTCTGGATATCTCCTCCTAAGTAATGTGTGCATGAACAAACAGTTCCTTCTTCCTGCCTGCTTTAGTTGGAAGGTTTGCAGAGTTTATGAAACAAGAAACAAAATTTAGGTGCAAAATAATAAACAGCCTTGCACGTGATAAAAGAGAAGCAATAAGCTTTCACATGTGCATCAAGTCAGCCTTAATTTATCTGCTAATGCTTGGAAAGGGCAAGTCTAGGTCTTTATCACATCAGCTACTTGAGAAGGCCCTGCTGTGATCCCATGGGAATGCATGCTCAACTTCTATCTCCTGTAGATGAGGTGTAATCACAGTCTATGCTGTAAGCTGGGAATGTTGTTCCCTGTGCTGCCCAAGGCCATCACTGGTCACTCCTGGCTTGCTCTAGAAGTTGAAGAAGGAAGCACCTTCCCAGACATTTCCTGCTGGCTGTAAAGTTGTAAATGAGTAAGGGTGAAACTAGAGGGTGACAGGATGCTGAGCTATCCGTGCACATTTTCCCCCATATCCTAAACAACAGGGAGGTATAAAAGCAAGAATTAACACTTGTTAGGCTTGGGAACTAATCCTATAAGACAAAGGGAATCATGCCTTAGTTTTAAATGTGTTTCTAAGTAGAAACAAAATAACTTGGGCTCTTAGAGTCAGATGTTTGTTATTACAAAAGGTAAAAGTTCACACCTAAACAAGATGTTTTTTTAGCATTCTTTCAAACAAATGCATTTCCTATATTTAGCAAAATATATAACAGTAACTTCCTGCTTATCTTTGGAGATAACTATTTTGTGATAAATTTAAAATGCTAAACAGAATATCATAGCCTCAGAAAATAAATATTTGGTGTAGAAGCCAATACCACAAGCAAAATATTCAAATTTTTATTAGTCAGCCCTCCTTGCCTTCATCCCTTTTACAAGCTTGGAGGAATAGGTTGGTGAGCCCATCAGGATTATTTAAGGGTGGGAAGTGAATTCCAGGTTAAGGAGTCTTTTGGAGAATGATCAATGGAAGATTTCTAACCACCTTGCATCCACGCTTTCCCTTAGATAGGCAGAGTAGGCCAATTGGGGCATCATAGGTCAAATGCAATGGGGAAGCAGTGCAGATGAAAGTGCACATCAATGGATAACATACACACCAGTCATACAGCTGACTTTTATTCAGAAACTAAAGCTCCATATAGTCACAAGGTGCAATTCCACTGAATGCTTGTTGTGTCAGTATAACCTTGAATTGTTAACGGTATGAATGTGATGAAAAGACTCTACCCCTGAGACATAGGTGGTATTTGCTTTTACATTAAAAAAGAAGAGGAAAAAAAAAGTTTGCTACAGTTTGCTACTCTCACTAAAGACTAAAGTCTTTGACTGCTCTTCCAATCTCACCAAGCATAAAGAAATAATTAAAAATTGCTTGCTAGTGATGTTTTGGAAGCCATAGATGATCTTTATCACTTTGCCTGCTCAAGCCCTGTCACCTACCAGCAGGCATTCCTCCTCCAAACACAACAGGATTGTTACTTGGCCTCCTATATAGGTAGGGTATTTCTTCCAAATGCAGCACCCAGCTTTATCTTCAAGACTCTTTAAAATACTGCTTATGTGCTACTTCCTAGAAAGCACTATATCCAATGATATGAAAGAGTATATTCCCTTTAGTATCATTAGTATGTTCCTAGCTAGAATTAAAGTTTTGAGCAAGTGCAGTGTTGAGGGCCATATAACCATGATGAATACACAAAAAGGCATGCAGGATTGACCTGTCACTATAGCCCTGATGGAAGATTCACTCAGAATGATGCTCCCTAAAAACAGTCATTAGGCTGAGTGAGCCTTTGTTGGATAGAAAATCAAAATGGAACTTGATGCAAACCACTTCCAGCCAAACGTAACAGGAGGAGCCCTAGACTCGGAGTGACTGGAACAGAGAGGAGACCACAGTCCCTCTTTTAAGGCCTACAACTTCTTACAGTCTCTGGAATACTGCTGGTGTGCTCAGCTGGGCTTCTCCAAAGCAGTTGTAAAAGATGTAAATTTGGTGCTAGGTGCGAAAAGGAGAAATAAGCACAAATGAGGTGTTAAAATAGGAGTAGATAATTGCATATACTTCACAGATTTGTTACACTCAGCAGAACTGGGAATAAACACAGCGAAAATCATTTATAAAAAGGCATCAGCAGGCCACCTCCTTTTTGTGTTGATGGGATAGAGATGAAATATTTTGACAAGTACTTAAAATGGGAAAAGTGGAAGGATTCTGCAGGAACTTAAGCTCGTGCAGTTGGACATCAGTCAATATTATTCATGTACAGGAAAGATAAGCAGCAATGTTGAAAATGGTGAATATACAAAAATTCTATGGCAAGAGGATCAGATGAAAACTAGAGAAGATGCCTCTGGCCCAGGCAGCATCCCAGGTGGAAGCTGAGACATGTGATAACATATTTGATTGTTTTGACATTATTGTGCGATACAAGAACAATGAAGGTGGTGGGAACAGTCTTGTCATTAGACTGAGATTTCTTGTTCACTGATGAGACTTCAGAGAAAGCTTCCTTCAGAGAAAATGGATGGGCTTCCTATCTTTAAATAGAAGGAAGGTTGCAGAAAAGCAGTGTGATGGGCTTTCTGACTTTGGTCAAAATCCGTGGGTGACCAGAGCCAAATTAAACGATGAAGACTAGAAGCTTTAACCTGCATAAAGAACCTGATTTAGGGCAGATGTAAGAAACAGTTTTTTTACAAGTCAGCATAGGGGAGCTAATTATTGAAGGACATCAACCATTTAATGAGGTGAAACAGGTGATCTTTGCTGTCTTTTCTGCTTAGACTCATAGTCTGTGTAAAATATTGCCGCTGTCAGACTGATATTGAAGCTGGGGAGGCTCTGGGGGTGGTCTAAGGGCTGACTGCAGGGAAGCAAATGGTGAAGCTGAAGCTTTTGTATGCCTCATGGCACTCCACTGGCTTCCCACTCATTGTGATCAGGAATTGTCTTTTCTGATGAAAGAAGTAAACATGAACGAGTACTGCCAACTCTGAGCTGGAGTTTCTTTTATCTCAATACAACTTTAGATTTGAAGCCCTTGTAGACATTTTGTAGGAGTATGTTTGTCTTTGAGGTGATTAAAACAAACGACATCTTGTTCATCAATGAGATTATGCCACTGCATGAACCAGAAACTTGAAACAAGGTTTCAAGGAATGCAGAGAGTGTGGGAGTTGGCAGGAGATCCCCGGGTGTGGGCAGAAAGGGAGAAATGAAGGGGAGAAAAGCCATTAGAAAGTAAAAGAGGAAACCAAATTAATTAAACAAGTGCAAGATTTTCAAAGTTTTAACTTGATGTGCAGGAGATACAGAGACTCTTCTCTGAGCCATGTGGTTGAGGGATGCTGTTGGCAGCTACGGAATTAGGTTGCATCTATGCAGTGAATGTTGTACACTGGTGAAGCAGGAGTGACAGCCTATTTTCCTCTAAGATTAAAAATCTCAAAATCATGTGTTTGTATGTACGCACAGCCGAAGTGTGAAACTGAATTTACAAATGATCATTCAATGGTTGTATGGATGTAATGTGGCTTTTCTACTAAAACTTTGATGTGTGCACATAGTGTGTAACATTGCTTAGTTAATATCTTAATGCACTCTGATAGACAAGTGGACACCTTTGAGCACAAATTCCTCGTGCATACATTATGCCTCACCCTTTATCATATCATTCAATATCTCCATTGTTCTGTGAGTTAATGTGAAGGGGTGAAGTATGGGCAGTTCCTTGGCAGAGGATAACAGATTTTACCCCATTTTGCTTTTGCTGCTTTGTAGTTTGCAAATTAGAAAGCATTTGTGGTCAGAAATAAAATGACTTATATGGCTTTGAATGTTTGTAATTAATATTGGCACGCAAGTCTAGCTCTGAAAGTATATGCCTGGCTCAAGAGGGTAATTATGTATAATTAAAGCAGAGCCTGCTTTAATTAAATACGAATCAGTTTGGATCCTTCAGAAGGCTACACGTTCATTTTGCATGAGAGCAATCTGCCTCTGCTGTTTCCCCAGTCTTGTGTTCAGCTTTTGGACATGAAGGGTGCCATGATTGTGATGCTTTCTCAGTTCTCTCCCACTTTTTGGGGCAAGAAGGTGGGCAATGAGCTGCATAATTTATTGCTTATGTTTCAGATTCAAACTTGCTACAGATTAGTCAGATTTTCTTTTTCACTTGATCATTCCTTT